GGGTCACTGGGGTACGCGTGGCACAGGCCAGGAGTAGACGCTCAATGAATCCTGGAGCTCTGGGCTACTGGGGCTCGTGGGGAGCCTAAAATGACCCTAATGCAAATATGCTTCAGCTCCCCAAGCATTTGCTAATCATGGTGAAACGAAATATGGCAAACGTGTCCTTGACAGTAAGTTTTACTTTCTGAATGGTGAAAAGCTGATTCAAACCAACCACTGTAACACGGCATTAGAATGTTCCCAGCCTGGTCCCTCTAGTTGGCCAGGGGCCTGGCTGAGGAAGTCACCCCCGCCCCGGGATTGTGACGGTCACATCCTGACTCCACTCCGGGTCCAGGAGATAGTGCAGAGGGACTGTGGGAAGTACGTCACTCTGGCAGACTCGGGCTCTTGAGTCAGCATCTTAGACTAGCAGGCCATTGATGAATATTTAATAAATGAGAGAACGGGGTGAGAAATGAGGATCTCTGCTCTCCAGGTCACAGACCAAGCTCTGGACAAGCAGGACTGCCTGAAGTTCCCTGGGATGGCCCCTTTGCACCTTGACCGCTGCTATTTCGTATGCAGGAAATACCTTTCCCCTCCCACCCCTGCCAAACGACTTCTCCAAGGCAACCTCATCTAGGACGCCTTCCTGGCTGGCTCCATACCACACTCCGGGTTGAGCCCTCTCTTGACCATGCCTCACCACATCACGGCACTCAGAGAATCTTGCTCACTAGTCCCTGAGCGTCCTGTGAGCTCAATCCCATCTTATTTGCAGAGTTCGGACTTACTAGGAGCCACGCATCTAGCATGCTACTGCATGGGACACCTTACATACGATGGCTAACAGGCTGGGTTAGAGGACGATGACATACCCACAGGGTAGGCATCTGACAAGCCCCATGTTACAGATGAGGCACAAAGGTTGAGTAGACCTGTCGAAGGTCACCTGGCTAGTAAGGGGTCTGTTTAGCACCTGTGGCAGGCAGAAAAAGGGCCCCCCAAAGGGGCCCGCATTCTAATCCTCGGAACCCGTGAATATGTGACCTTACGTGGCAAAGGGACTTTGAAGATGTGATTAAGGATTTGGGGGGGGTGGGGAGTCTCCTGAATGGTCTGAATAGGTGCAACGTAATCACAGGGCCCTTAAAAGAGGGAGGCAGGAGGGTCAGACTCGGAGAAGATGTGAGCAAGGAAGGAGAAGCCAGAGAGAGAGAGAGCCTGGAAGATACGAGCTGCCGCCCTCGAAGATGAAGGAGGGGCCACGGGCCAAGGAACGCGGGGGCCTCAGGAAGCTGGCGGAGGCGCAGGGATACGCTCTCCCCTACGGCCTGCAAAAGTAACGTCCCCCTGCCGACGTCTCGGTTTTAGGGCTTCCAACTCGCAGGGCCAGAAGACGACAAATCTGTGTTGTCGTAAGCCGCTAAATTTGTGGTCATTTGTTACAGCAGCCGCAGGAAACTCATACAGCGCCCTTGAACTAGACCACAAGACAGCTGCACTGCCAGGGAAGGGAAGGAACCCGCCGCGTTTACCCAGGAGGCGGTCAGAGGCCCTTCTGAGAAGGTCCCCGGTGTGGAGGGCCCCCGCTGGTTCTGGTGTGCTCGTCCTCCGCCCTCCTGAGGAAGTTGGTGCAGCGACCTGAAGTCCTGAGAAGGAGGTGGCTGGAGTGCACTGAACCCCCAAAGCCCCGAGCCTGAGGCGGGTCCCCAAGCTTGTCATTTCCAGGAACGCTGAGCCTCCCCGATGCCAGGAAGTCTCGGTCCACGTGCACTGACCCTCTGGCGGCGACCGCGCCACTGCCCCGGCACAGGCCTCCTCAGCCCTCAGGGGGGCGGCAGGGGAGAGGGGAGGCGAGCGAGGAGCTCCGGGGGAGCGGCCCTCCTCAGGAGCTGGTGGGGGTCCCCGGGGCTGCCAGGCTGCCAGCCTCACCGTCAGCCACGAGGACGCTGAGAATCCACAGGAGGGAACTTCCTACTGCTCTCGCTTTTGAAAAGCTCAGTCCGTGAGTCAGGCTGTCGGTTTGCCTGCCTGTCTGGCGCGCTCTCTCTCTCTCTCTCTCCTCTCTCTAGTCAGGCAGCTTGAGAAGGCCTGATCCGATGAGATAAATACCCGCCTCGGTCACCAGGAATCTAAGGCGCGCAGCCAGCTGAGTCACACGGTGGCGATGGCTCAGAGAGGGCCGCGGAGTTCAAGCTGACCTCACTTTGGAAACGGGGCCAGACGCTGCAATACAGCGGGACATCGGAGAGCACATTGGCCTCCAAAGGCTCCAAGTGCTGTGTGTGCTCTGGCCACAGAAGGCCGTTTTGGAAGGGAGCGTCACGACTCCCCCTGTAACTCGAGAAGCGGGGAGACTGCTGAGTCCGGAGAAAGGCTGGGGAGGAGCGGCCACCAGGGATGCTTCAGGCCACGAGGATGTGGCCTGCAGTGGTAGCCGCTGTCCCAAAGTGACCTCGCTTGACTGAAAGCTGTCTGAAGTCGCTGACCCGCTCAGAGCCCAGCCGGGCATCCGACGCGTGTATCGTTTTGTTTTTTTTTTTAATTTTTTTTCAACGTTTTTATTTATTTTTGAGACAGAGAGAGACTGA